CTCCGATTCATCCATACATGTACACGTAGTCACGCACTGGAAAATTCTCGTCTTTTCTTGCTTCTGCGAGTGTGCATTGTCCAATCCAGAACACCTTTGCGGTCGACGGAATTTTATCCCTACAAGTACAATTATCAAATTTTGATGCAGCTAACGAGGCTCGCTCCCTTATCTGGCATTGGTTGTGAGACTGCACTGACCACCTCACCCTCGCCGCTAGGCTTTGCATCTGCCACCATGATACATGCATCTCAGGCATAGTGGTGGCATACGTAAGCGAAACTTCACAAAGCTGGTTGTGTTTCTCAACACTATCCCCCGTATCCTAGTAGCCGGTGGTGGTAAAGCGAATGCGCGAACCTTTTTTTTACTACACTTATTGTAGGAGGGAAGCCTTGTGTGTGTGCCACCTCGTAGACGTGATCCAGAGGGGCGAGTCTCTCCTTTGTCATAATCACCCACGGTGCAATCAGTGAAGTCTCGACTTTGCGGGCAGACGATGTACATGTAACACATTATCACAACGGATGACGTCACAAATGAATTGGAATCATCTACGCCATGTAGATGATCAGTTTGTGGTCACTCTGATTGGAAAGGTACACATAACATTATATTGGTCAATGATAGCCATGTTACCTGCGAGGGAGTGCATAGCCATAGCCATAGGTGTCCACTGTAAATACTAGTAGTAGTAGTAGTAGTATACGGTTCGGCCATAAAGCACTAGGCGTAGATCTGTGTCACGTGACAGTGGGTGGTGAGATATTTTCTTTATCTCTCACTGCCACATCGACAACTGGTGATAGCACATTTTAGCATTCGGATAGTGCACCCCTGGTCTAGGCCTAGTCACACCTGACACCTAGCCACATCTACTCACATACCAAGAAAAGTTAGTCCACTGAACGTCTTGCGCTTTTTCTGCCTCCATAGCACAATAGAACTCCAAATTACATATCACTCCTACAAGCGTCGTGGCCCTTCAACAGTCTGTACATGGTCATAACGGTGAGGCTGCATGAAGAGCGGTCACTGATCGCCGTTGCGTTATCAACAACTGCCTACTTTGAAGGATGAGTGTATCCAGCTACCAAATGTCTGACTGTACCATGTGCACCCTTTTCGCGCTGGCAACAGGCAATATGTCTTACTTCTATGGCACATTTCACGCGTCGACAACTGCGCCGTTATCACAACAAGCCCTTGCTAGTGTGGCGTCCGAGCTAGCGTAGGGTGGGATTGATACTCATGTCACTAACATGCACGCAGGCGACTATAGCCTTTATCAGGGAGTCGTCAAATAATTATCGTATTTGACGACTCCCTGGCCTCTATACTACATGTATAGGGAAGTTTGTACTGTAATACAGACAGGTATACTAGAAAGCAACCCTTGATGCTGCGTGGACTATCGAGAAGGCTCTGGGCCACTAGTTCTCACTGCATTCAGCTTTAGCCAGGTGTACATGTATGTTCCAGCATCACTAGTTGCTCACGCTTGAGATGGTTTCGTTTTCAGACTCGCCACATTCCACATGGAAAGTTTGTGTTACTCTAGACTAGGCTCACCTCACTCGGACGAAAGGGTAAACGTGCGAAGTCCCTACCATATTGAAAGAGAGAGAGAGAGAGAGAGAGAGAGAGAGAGAGATAGAGAGAGAGAGAGAGAGAGAGAGAGAGAGAGAGAGAGAGAGAGAGAGAGAGAGAGAGAGAGAGAGAGAGAGAGAGAGAGAGAGAGAGAGAGAGAGAGAGAGAGAGAGAGAGAGAGGGAGGGAGAGCGAGCGAGAGAGAGAGAGAGAGAGAGAGAGAGAGAGAGAGAGAGAGAGAGAGAGAGAGAGAGAGAGAGAGAGAGAGAGAGAGAGAGAGAGAGAGAGAGAGAGAGAGAGAGGGAGGGAGAGCGAGAGAGAGAGAGAAAGAGAGAGAGAGAGAGAGAGAGAGAGAGAGAGAGAGAGAGGGGGAGAGAGAGAAAGAGAGAGAGAGAGGGAGGGAGGGAGGGAGGGAGGGAGGGAGGGAGGGAGGGAGAGCGAGCGAGAGAGAGAGAGAGAGAGAGAGAGAGAGAGAGAGAGAGAGAGAGAGAGAGAGAGAGAGAGAAAGAGAGAGAGGGAGAGACAGATCGAGAGAGAGAGAGAAATGTACATGTACGTTGATGCGGGAAGGGCAGTACTCAGTGGGAGGAACATATCGATGTTGTCATTATTCCTACCTCGAAGTACACCCTCGTCAGTAATAAATCCCCAACTTCCCAAGCTGTAAAGTCATGTTCATGCTGTACACTGTTACGCCGTCGTCGTAATCTTGGTTCCATCAACTCATCAACTGTCTAATAATTATTCTCCTGTTCAGCTTCCGCCCCTTGGCGCGGCCTGGGCCATGGGCATTGGGGATTAGTGGTCTTGGTCTTGGAACTCCCTGGTCTGCCAGTATGGGAAGAACACAAGAGCAGGGATGGACTAGACAAGGGCTAGGAGAGATGCACTTTGAAGAAGATTAGCCACTCTTCGACTTAAGCACCCTGCAAGTGTCTAGCTGAGGGCAGAATTGCTGCTACTACTATTACCAACAAGATTGATGACACCAGTAACTAGTTTCTACGGCCTACTCCGATGCGCGACCGCGTCCCTGTGTCATGCACCATGTCTCAACAATTAGAGACGAAGCATTCATTTCATGAATTCATTTGCGAAGCACTTGACTTTGCGTGTTCTTGATGGCATGTCCAATCACACACGGATTTCGAGTTTTCCTATGCATCAGCTCTACTTCCAAGCAAGGCTAATGTACATGTATGTAAAGCCGACTACATGACTGTACTTCTCTTTTGAGGGATGGCATCACTGAGTCCGAGAATGTTGCATCGTGGTTGGCTAGCAGAGCGCCGAGCAAAGCATCATCCGCCGAGACTTTTTGATTACGTTCAGATGCAATTATAACTACTAGTACTTTGAAGTGGGACCAAAGAAAGGGTTTTGAGACTTAAACGTCAGCTCCATCTACAATGTACATGTACAGTGCATGTACATGTATACAGGTTAAAAGAAACCGTGCAAATACAGTTCTTCACACGAAGGGTCCAAGTACATACAGTAAACTGTTATTATAGTCCCGACGCATGCAGTTGCCCACCCATGTCACTCTCCTCCCAGTATTCATCCTCTTCTCTTTCTCTCTTTGCAGTGGAAGGTTGGAAACTTCGAACGCGTCCAGGGTTAAACATTCCGAATTGATTGCATGCAGTGCATGCAGTGCACTAGTGGTTGATTAGTCACACTGAGCGGCTAATGACGCCTTGTCAGTCTGCCACTCTCATTACGGCCTCACTGCTCGCTGTGATTCGAGGTTTGCATACGCAAAGACTACCACTACCAGCTTGTACATGTACATACATAATTATGCACACTACAATGTAGTCACACGTGGATGAAGTATACATGACTGATATTGTATGTAGTGAAAACCTTAGGATCTGCAGCCTTAAAGACACATAACTTACTTATACGTCTGTTCCATGATCCAGTAGATCTGAGATGCTGATGCATATACACATTATTTTGGCCTTACACAGGTCAACACCATAAAAATACAATACAATACAGGTGTAACTGTATTTCTGTGGCCCTGTGCATGCATGTCGCTGCAACCCCTACTGTTTGAACAACTGACGTTCACACGGCACAGAGCACCAAGCATCGTTCGTTGCAACTAATAGCTTCATGCCCATAGACAATCATCCGACAACTGACGTTCAGAAGTAATTCCATTACCTCTGCCATTACTGTAGGTGGACAGGTTAGGTTGGTCAGCCCTCTCCTCGTCTTCTAGCTGATATCTTGCTGACTACTGGAGTTCCAGCACACTTGTACATGGTTGAACATTACACACAACAGGCACAACGGAGGTGAACAGAGTTCGCCGCAACTCACAGTTCCTTGCACAATGCAATCATCAGTTGCGACTCCCTGCTGTAAACCTCTGTTGTGCCTTTTGCGTGTAATAGTGCTCCACAGTATTGTGTTGAGCACTTTCCACTGGCACAAGGAAGCCTTCCTCCTGGTCAAAGTGAACATTTCACAATGTAGTCACTTAGGAGTAGCAAGAGTCCACTTGTCGATAGGACGTCGTCAGCGAGATTAAACACAAACAAAAGACCTTCTGTCTATTTACCATCTTTGCACAGTGGCCAATGCTCCATCTAAGAGAAGCACAGTCCTTCTGACAATATTAGCAAGTGATAGCAACGCTCCCATAATGCCATCCGATGCCCGAAAAGTACAGTTTTATGACACAGGACTGGGAGTCGTGCATTGTGTGCAAGGAATTATGGTGGTCTTCCCTGGTGCCGGCTAATCGTCACTGATCCTTTTTCGCCACCAAGCGGCCGGTGTTAGGTTCAGCTCAATACTACAATAGCCGGGATGGAATGGAGATGTGAGAAGCACCATATTGTTACCCTGATATGTTTGCCCTTGACTTTGGTACTAACGTTATCTACGCACAAATTCAATCACAGTCTGTCTGTCTCTCTCACTCACTCACACACACACACACACACACGCAATCCCTATTCTCTCTAAACAAGAGTTTGTTTCGGACAACAACGGCAGCAGGAGCAGCAGCAGCAGCAGCAGTAGCGTGTCCGAGATCCACGTGAATACAGTCATGCACTCTCTTCTCATCTGGTCATTGTATGGATGCGTGTGAATCGGCGCGAGCCGGTCTAATGTGGAAGTAGCTGCACACGGTTTAAAATCGTCGCTGTCTAGTTTGAACAGTCACTGCTATGGCCAGTATGGCCAGTATGGGTAGGGCTGCTAACTTGGTACCAGTAGCGACTGAAGTGCTAAGTGCTAAAGCTAGGCCATGCTGAAGTGTTTGTTCAGTAGGAAGAAACGTGCCGACTCTGACTCTGAGCATGTGGCGGGAGACTAGAACTAGCAGCATCTCTACCCGCCACAAGCAAGGGCTGCAGCTGCAGAAGAAACTACTTATACCGGAAAGCGCATTGCAATACCTGCAGCTCGCAGCGCAAACGTCGGAGGAACGATATAAATGTGTTGACACGTGCTGACCGTCAACTTTATGCACACAGTTCCGCTGTGGTGAGATTCAATTTCAAGCCTTCTGTCTCGCGTCATTCCTTCCACCTTATCCGATAATTCTAGCCTCAAAGTTATTGACACATTTCGGACTCACTTAGTCTTTAGAATTATGACGTGTGCTTCTTCATTGTTCAATTCAACTGTGCAGTATGGTAGTGATTAGGGCCTGCCCTGTATGTCCCAAGGTGTTTGCCTTCTGTTATACGTCATAACACAAAAAAGGTCAGTGTGAAGCAGTGTGTGTGTGTGAAGCAGCAGCAGCTGCAGCAGTACTAGCAGCCATTAATGTCGTATACCAGACACACAGTGACAGTGTTTCACGTTCAAGTAGCTGTTCAAGGCTTGTGCTCCAAAATCGTTATGGCCCTGTTGTCTCTCATGATCAATAGCAGTGATGCGAAAAGAAGAACTTCCTTGCCATCGTCAACGAGTGCGTCCGGAACTTGTAGCAGCCATGAAGAACAGTCTGGCGCACGATCTGAATCCCCAGATTCAGGGGTCGATGACGCCAACCTTCTTCAAGAACCTTCCCCTACCCGTCGTGGCGAAACTAGTCACGCGTCTGCAAGAACGGAAAGGAGCAGCACGGTTCAGCGAAGCCATCCTGCAAACACATCAGATTCAGTTGGTCCCAGGGTGGCAGCATCTATCCTTCAACCCAAAGATAAGAAGAAGCAAACCCGGGTGAGAGCTCCAGCAGGAATGCCCGAAAAACAAGCGAAGGTATGGCGAAGGAGTCGTGCAAGTGGTAGGGAACTAGCCCGCATACATGCGCTTGCTGATGCTTTAGAGGACCTTAGAGCGATTGTTCCTAAATCACTTGATGAAGAGAAAGCAACGAAGGTGAAGCTACTCCGTCAAGCTTCGAGCTACATTCAGCTTCTGGGAGAAATGCTAGAGGCCCCTCCCGGCCCTGATGCCTCCAGTACTGCTGCAATATGTAGTGATACAGGCGATGACGCCATGAGTGAGCCACATAGTGATCCCCGTCATCAGTTTGCCTCCACAACCAGCCTGATGCAGCTGGGGGGCGTTAGCTCTCTTGGCAGCTTCAACAATGTCGCTGCTGCAATGGAGGAACATCACAAACAATCCGAACAACATGATGACGAGTCCCCACACGACATTGAAGATGATCAGCGTTCGGAGAGCACAACGAACAGTGGTGGACTACTCAAAGAAAAGCAACCCCGTCACCTGCAGCCTCCCTCAGCCCCCGCTGCAGCACTCCAGCAACACAGCAGTGCTGTCATGAATACGGAAAGTACATCATGGGAGAGTAAGAAGGAAGCACTGCTTGACATGCAACGTAAATTAGAAGAACGGCAGCAACTGCTAAGCCTAGCAACACAGCCAGCGCTGCAACCACCGGCCGTTGCCAGTGCAGCGTTTGCATCAGCACCTCCTGGTGGCAGTGTGCCTGTGTTACAGGTGGCACAGTCCTACCATCCCAATCATTTGACTCTTTCTGCTCCCACGGCTAGAACTCCGCCCGTGGATTTCCTCTCCAGCATTCAAAGTCCCATCATACCAATTGCCCCCTCGCCATGGAGTGTCTCACAAGCCTCACATCCCGCCGGCTATGAGGTCCAATCCCGTCCCATCACTTTGTCCACTGGGCCACCGTACACCCAGCTACAGCAGCCATCTCCCCACCACCCGAACATCTACCACCTAGCCAGCACGACTGCTGCTTCTCAGCCTGTTCACCGGAGCATGGCGACCGGCACCGCTGCAAACACACCTGTAAGTTTCCGTTAGGCTCAGCATGAGAATGTTGTTGAGAATTTATTTTGTGTCGCATGCCAAACGGGCAATGATGCCCAATATTATGATGGCAATGAAGTAACGGCCAAAAGCCAAGAATACACCAAACCTCCACGAAAGAGCGAAAAACACAGACTACAAATACTCAAAAAGAAGAAAGGAAAAAAAGAAGAAGAAAAGAAAAGAAAAGAAAAGAGAGGAAAAAATACAAGGGAAAAATGAAAAAGAACAAAAGACAAACAGAACGAAACCAAAAACACAGTGGAGTCACTTCACCGGACGACTCCAAGTCCAAGCCTAGATGCTGGTTAACCATAAAAATAAACCTTTAAAAGTCTCTTGAATGATCTATGGCAGGCGAGGAACTTGAACTCTTGGGGCAGGGCGTTCTGTAATCTAGCAGCAGAAACGAGCGGCCGACAGTCACCAGAGACTCGCCAGGTGGCAGGGACAACATACGCATTGGGATCATTCATGTCAAATGTCACACTAGGGGCGAGTGCAGGCTATTCATTGCCATTCTCTTTTCGTATCGCTCAGGATAAGAAATGGCTTTGAACGTTCCCTTTGTACTTCAGTACGCTACTGGTGCTCAATAGAGCTAAACACTTTCGAGCGCGCCTGTGTGTGTGTGTGGGGGGGGGGGGGGTTCAATTCCCGACGATTATGGTCGCACACGTCTTTCTTCTCTTTCTCATTCTCCTAGCTCTTCTTTCATTCTCCTGGGTGATTACCAACAGCCAGTGTATGCCAGAGTATGTGGTGTCGTGTGCATGTGTGTCGAAAAATAAAAAATGAAAAAATGAAAAATAAAAATTAATAGGGATTCACTGGCCAGAAAAAGTCACTTCAATCAGCTGTGTGGTGGATACCAGGCAAAAATTAGTGGCGGTCAATTCATCAGCCTTGCAAGCTGATGAATGGTGCAATCCCAGCACAAGTTGCTATGGCTTCTGCCGTAGCATTGCTATCATTGCCTCCGGCGATTGGCGTCAAAAGGTCAAAAGGTGTGTATGTGTGTGCATTATACATGTACATGTACATGCGCGTAGATTGTCACAGCAAATGACGTCAAACTGTTATGAGAAGGTACTACAACTAACTATTACTTGACCCTAAAGAGTCGCATTCTGTGTGGAAAACACGTACATGTACGCGTACAGTGTACTACGTCATGTTATCCAGGAGGTTGCGGCCAGTTCCGTAACCTATTAACCCGAAATGGCCAAAGATAGAACGTATTTAAATCAACACCTGACATGCATAGAGCTCTTGTCTTTTCAGAAGCTCAGTTCAAAGTCTCCTCTGTGCGTGCAGTATTCCTGTTCTGCGCCGAGTTTATTCACGCTGTAGCGCTACGGCCCGTTTTCTCTTTCTTATTAATTTTGGCTGCAGACAGATGGAATAACGCTCCATCTGCTATCCGCACTGCTGCATCGCCCTCCCTATTCCGCCATGCATCACTTTCATTCTTAGGGTACCCCGTAAGAAGACCTTGAGCCATGTGTAAAAAAAGAAACAGGTGGTCTTTGTAGACAGATTCAAAATGTAACGCCCCCTCCTTTGCATTGGCTTCTGCCATTTGACGGTGAAACAAAATAAATAGTGAGAAGAGTTTGCTAGCTGAGCAGATCTGTCTAAAGACAGACCTTACTGCGTTGCAACTTCCTCCGATCTTACACCAAGCTTTGGAAAGCAAAGAATACCAACGACGCATTGAAGGCGAGGTTTCCAATTTCAGGCATCAGAAGGGTGAAGCGGACGTCTCGCGGCCATCTGCAGCTGCTTTATCAGCCACTGCAAAATAGGGGGAAAAGTAGACCTAGTTTTCCAGGTCACGTGCTGAGTACCAATGGTATTTGCTGTGTCTGTTCTGTTCGTTCCAGACTCAGGGCTTATCCTTACCGGCGATCCAGTTTCCGGCAGGAGGAGCTACGGCTTCTTTTCAATCGCCCACACGTGCTGTGATGATGGCCCCTGGCTTATACCCGGCTGCTGCCCATGCCACTGGTCAACCTGGCACTATACAGGTGTCTCCGGGTTTCGGCATTCAAGCAAATGCACAGACTGGCATGCTAGCCTGGCAGATGCCCAGCACTGGCCAAAGACTGTACTAACGACAGTTCCAAGACAAAGCAAGTTTCAAACCATACGGACATGATTGCGATATCCATGACTATGTACAATGTATGGGGCTCCCCGGTAGTACATCATCGTTGTGTACTTCACGGATTCGAGCCCCGCGCGCAGTCGAGGACCTCCGCAGGAGGGATTTCCAGATTATATTATTGAATATTGGGGTGTTTTTGGATCTTGGAGATTCTTGAATTTTGCTGTTTTCAGTGAATTTTGGCAAATTCGCCAATTTTTCGCAACGTTTTGCTGAATTCTACATGTACATGTACATTGTACGTGATGATTGTACAGATAGTTTTCTGCTTTTGAGAGAGTTTTTAATTTTTTTTTAATTTTTCGGATAGCACTTCCAAGCTCCACTGCAGCCACTTCATCGATGGTGTGTGTAGGGTTTTTCGGATAGGATTATTTTTTAGACTTGAATCTTGATGCTCCAGAATGATATCTTCTATCTCAATAATACACAATTTCTTGTGAATAATCTGGAAGGCCTTGTTATACTCCTCAGTCGCACATCTGACTGCAAAATATCCATGACGCAGCTCTTGAGATCAAGGACCAGTGTGGGTCCTCTTCACTGAGTCGAGTCGAGCGAGCTGTAACTCGCGGTGCCGAAAGGCAGGCTAACGGTGACAGTCACACCCCTGCATGGCTACTTCCACTTGTCTAGCCTTGTAACTGTCAGTAAGTAATTAGTTGTAGGCATCTGCAGAGGATGCTACTTGCTAGCATAGTAGACATTATTAGCATGTTTAATACCGTTCACGCTCACTTCGACTGTCGGCTGCAGTACCGTTTTTTAAGACATGGTTAGCATTTCGACTTCTGGCACGACGATCGGCTTGTGACGTCAATGCCATCGTCCTCATCATCCATCTCCATCTCAGCACGTCCATGCTTTCTGTCCCTTGACCCTTCATCACCAATCCCCGATTTGCTGTCGCCAACACTTCCTTCTCCTGGTCCGATGTCTCCCGATTGCCTCAGCCGTGCCTACTCCAGCCTCTTGCTTCGTCTTAGCTGTGTATTGGTTCCTTTTGATTCTTTTGTTTGTGTTGCTAAATCTGGTGGGCGGTGTACCTCAGACGCTGGCCTCACCACAGGCTACTCAGTACTACTGAGTACTGTGTTGGTACAGCTGACACAGGTACTGAAGTACATGTATATTCTGTAGGCAGACGGTGTTTACGAGGTCCTCCTCGCTTTGGCCTGTTTGCTCTACCGGCTGCGAAAACAGTGACAGCGGAACATGCTGTTTTACTTGTACTAAAATACGTTCAGACAGGTGTTGAAGCGTCCTACGAACATACCACATTGTCGGCTTTCAAAATGATAGATGAGATGACGCAATTGATGGGTTGGCAGGACGTCCTTCAACACCGTGAACGAACGTATCGTTGTGTAGACGATGATCACATTTACGGCATACAGTAGTACGTTTTGTGAACAATTGACTTCACAATAAGACCGACTCGTGTAGATTCGGAGCCTTTCCAGGGCAAACGCATAAATACCCAAGACCTTTTTGGTCCGATTGTCTCCTCCTTTCGGGATGCTTTGACGTAAGCAATTTGTCGAAAATTTGTGATGGATAGTCATTTTTGAGGAACATTGATAGCAGGAATTCCAGCTCATGTTGGATCTTGTTTTCCGAACAAATGCGTCGTGCCCTACCAGCCAAGTTTCGAACTAAATTGGTCTTGTGCAGAGAGGAACAATGGGAATCCTACATGATGTACTGGCCTGTGCACGTAGTCTTGCGGTAAACAGACGTTATGGCACCATCACCAGTTTATCAAGTAATACATGTACATCCAGGAACGACAATTAATTTGTTAGATGCCTCGTACACGCAAGTGAAGCGCAATGCTGGATGGACTGGATTTAGATGTTTATCATTATTATTATTATTATTATTATTATCAAATTCTTGATAGGGCAATCCCCACAGGCCTAAATCACGAAAACACATGGAAGCAAGACCCATCATTGCTCATCTGATATACATGTACAGGTCATGTACAGTGCTTGCAACTGAAATCCGACCCCTGAGCGGTACGCTCACATCACAAAGACCCAACACCGGATAGCAAAACTACGAAAATAGAGACCGCTAGAATGTGAACGCATCGCTAAGTGGTCGGATTTCAGTTGTCAGCATTGCATGTGTACAATGAATGTGTAGCTAGTACTGCCTGGATGCGGCATTCCAGCTCCATGTCTCAGACCTGTATCTTAGTAACCTAGCGTCAGCACCAGATGCTGCTGGACTGCAGCAGACAGGCCGAAACAAGGGTGTCACTACTGAAAAGAGAATAGCCCAAGAGAAACAGCGGCGTGCAGGAATTCGTCAGCAGAATCATTCTTTTGTATACCCCTCTAGGTTCACGGTAAGCCCCCGTGTGTGGCGGATAACCACAGGCATAGTGTGGTAAAATTAATGGCTTGGCATCTCATATCCGGGGCATCGCTTGTACATGCGAGAAGCAGAATAATTGGCATGAAAACTCCTCCACACACTGTATCAGGAAGTAACCATACTTTGGCATCCCACAGAGAGCTGATGTACAAACTTCTAGTCTGCCAACATAATATGCTTAAGAGTACTTTAGGCCCTGAAATGTAAAAACCAAGACTTAGAACTAACTTACTCACAAGCAGACAGCACCACTACAATAGCCAACGTTGGTTATGCAAGCCAGACCAATTTCGACCACACGTCGTATTCTGCAAGTCAGCAGTGGAATCAGTTGACCAACATCTCTTAATGGCCACTGGCTATTGTGAGAATAAAGATTTGAAACAACAACAAGACAATCCGTGGGCCACTGAGTGTGTCGGATGATGTACTCAGTAGTCGAATTGGCAAAACTGCTGTTGCATTTGGGCACATTCTGTACTATTTTGTAGTAGATTTGGTACCCGAACCGTATGCGGATTGAGGGACGGATCTGGAGCTGGCTCATCGCCTGGGCTTCCTGGCGCCGATTTGGCGTGTTAATTCTTTGTTTCTCCAGTAGTTCAAGGTCTTTCGGTGATGGCCACTCGGTGCTACCTTTTACTGGAGATCATGAAAATGTTTCTACACCATTTGTTGCAGTCTACTTTGAAGTAGTACTGAAGTAGTTTAAGCGATGGTGTCGAAATTATTCATGCAAACGTTGATGAAGTTGCGGTCACAAGAACTTGCCAATGCATCCTTCGTATTTTTCACTCGTTCCAATTCTTTGTTTCTCCAGTAGTTCAAGGTCTTTCGGTGATGGCCACTCGGTGCTACCTTTTACTGGAGATCATGAAAATGTTTCTACACCATTTGTTGCAGTCTACTTTGAAGTAGTACTGAAGTAGTTTAAGCGATGGTGTCGAAATTATTCATGCAAACGTTGATGAAGTTGCGGTCACAAGAACTTGCCAATGCATCCTTCGTATTTTTCACTCGTTCCAATTGTATTTGTCTCATAACTTGCACAACAGTCAAGCAGATCATCCCAAAAGGACAGGTTGGTATGCTGACCTCATTTACCGCCTTGAAACGACTGCAAGAATGGCGAACGAACCTCATATTTTAGCTTCAATTTAGGAAAATTTAGGACTAGTCTTGGTTTGAAATTTCTATGAGAAAGGGGGGGGGGGGTGAGCGCAGACCAGACGAAACCAAGCTAAACATCACAGCAAACTAAGAATGTTAGCTTTGACGAGACGGTAACGAAAGACAAAAGACCAGAGCACAGGGGACGGCCACGGCTCACTTCACGGCTTGTGATATTTAGCTTGTTTTCGTCTTGAGTGCGCTTACTTTCCCCTTTCTCATGTTATTTTCATAACTTAGAACCTTCCAAGTTGGAAGGCTGTTGGTTTGCGCATCCAAGACGTGATAAGGTTTATCATCAGGTCGTTGAATGTCAGTATCACATCAGTCAGCGTTGTGCTAGCTGTTGCACCTTCTGACTACACAACATTTTGCTTACACTTGCAACTGTTAGTGTTGGACACAAACTACGGATAACATTTGACATTTTTGTCCTTTCTTTTAGAAAAGGAAATATTAAACATTGTGTTAAACCAGACACTGCACCCATGCATGGAGAATGTCACCGTGGCATTGAATATCGTTTTTATCAAGTCTGAAAAATTTCTAATATTCCCAAATCGACTCGGTAGCATCTTGCACGTCGAGGGGCGAAATGTGCTACTTCGCCAATTTAGCTGGCACCTATGGCTTCGATCTTAGCACAATGTGACACTCGGTTATTAATGTTGGGCATGACTCGCAGTCTTCAGAGCTAGAGTGGTACAGTAGCAGTGTGTTTGTACAAGTACTGCTGGACTGTATCTTCAAGAAACTTCCCCTACCCGTCGTGGAGAAGCGAGTCACGCGTCTGCGATAATGGCGGAGAGGAGCTCGGATCAGCGAAGCCATCCTGCACAAAAGAAGAAGCAAACCCGGACGAGGCCTCCAGCAGAAATGGACAAAAAACAAGCGGATGCATGGCGAAGGAGTCGTGCAAGCCGTAGGGAGTTAGACCGAATACATACCCTTGCTGATGCTCTAGAGGACCTTAGAGCGGTGGTTCCGAAATCAGCTGATGAAGAGCAAGCAACGAAGGCGGAGCTACTCCGTCAAGCTTCTAGCTATATTGAGCTTCTGGGAGAGCTAGTAGAGGCCCCTCCCGGCCCTGATGCCTGCAGTACTGCAGTACATCAGTTTGGCTCCGCAACCAGCCTGATGCAGCTGGGGGACGTTAGCTCTCTTGACATGCCATGGAAATTAGAAGAACGGCAGCAACTGCTAAGCCAAGCAACACAGCCAGCGCTGCAACCACCGGCCGTTGCTAGTGCAGCGTTTGCATCAGCACCTCCTGGTGGCAGTGTGCCTGTGTTACAGGTAGCACAGTCCTACCATCCCAATCATTTGACTCTTTCTGCTCCCACGGCTAGAACTCCGCCCGTGGATTTCCTCTCCAGCATTCAAAGTCCCATCATACCAGTTGCCCCCTCGCCATGGAGTGTCTCACAAGCCTCACACCCCGCCGGCTATGAGGTCCAATCCCGTCCCATCACTTTGTCCACTGGACCACCGTACACCCAGCTACAGCAGCCATCTCCCCACCACCCGAACATCTACCACCTAGCCAGCACGACTGCTGCTTCTCAGCCTGTACACTGGAGCATGGCGACTGGCACCGCCGCAAACACACCTGTAAGTAGTAGTAACTTGGTAGTGCATTGCTTTGCTTGGCATCACGTTTCGCGTCAGACTCGGCTAGAGGCGGGGTTTTCCGCATCCGTAGGAACGCCACGACCCAGGTCCCTTCAAGGATCAAGGCGCAGATACAGCTCCTAAAGCGGTGGGAGGTGAGTAGATCAGCTCACCACTTGGTCAAAGATAACTGTGGGTCGCACCACGGCTGGAAACATCCTTTCGCTTCCAAGCAGGACTTGAACTTGGTACCCTCTGTTTCTCAATCATGGTATTAGACCATCCCACTAGGCCTGCCTGCCTAGTAATAATAATACTTCGAAGTAATAAAATAATAACACAGGTTAGCAAAGACTTTTAAAAAGTATCTCTACTGGACGCTGTGCAGGAAGTATGGTGCATTGGACATTTCAAATAAATACACAAGTCACCAACTCATTAACGTCGTGTACAGTGGTGAACGGATGTGTCAATCTACTGGGAAGTGCCAATTCCAACAGCAGCGCCCGTTGGAGCAAACAGACTCGACGTTGTTATCAAGGGCAAAGATGAAGCATTGTTTGTGGACGTAAGTGTCCCTCTAGATAGGAACACCCGCCGAAAATCTGTGGCAAAGATACAGAAATATCAAGGTCTCAAGCGTGAGGTGGAACAGATGTGGCAGGTTCGGGCCAAGATCGTGCCAGTGATCGCGGGGGTATTAAGTGGATTAACCCCCTCGACTGCTGACTTTGTGAGGGAACTGGATGCCGGAGCCAGGGTATCCATCTTGCGAAAGGAGGCGCTCCTTGGCACAGTTGACATCATCAGGTCAATAAGTCAGATGTTGGATCTCCATTAGAAACGTAGCCATTTGGTCACTACGTTGCAATCTATTGCCATTACAGTGCTGCATGCAGAGTAACTGAGTTCAAAGGTCATTTACGGATGAGGTAAACAGTTACAAGAATAGAACACACTGAGAAAAAGGACACGCTTCAGACTCTTCAAAAATCATCTTGAAATTGTTCTCTTGCGTACTTTCAAGCCTCATCGTCAAGTGAAATACAGGAAAACCAAATGAACCAGGACAGCGGAATACAGTAGAGGGGTGATGGAAATAGCGCAAGAAAGAAGAGCTCAAATAACAACGAAAACAACGAAAAGTTCGTGACCCACATCCACATCGAAAGAAACGGGGAGGAAACGGTGCAAGTGTCAGGAGACCTAACAAGCGTGACGTGTGGTGCGACAAAGCGAGACAACAAATGGACATAACAAACGAGTTGGATAAGGTGACTTATCACTCTCATAGTATTGACTCCCATTGATTTTCGCTATACCTAAGCAGTCAAATATTCCTGCATATTTCACTCCTTAACGCTGTATTGGGCGCTTTCGATTACACGTTTACACAATTCTGGAACTGTTTTTTAAAATTCTGGAATGACCAGATTGAGCGGATTCTGGCCTTGTAAACGAACGACTGCACAACGCTTTTTATTCATGTCACAAACAAAATTGATGAATCGTAAAAAGAGATCACGTACACCCTCGCGCCCACGTGGACCCAGCATTTGCCGTATCTCATAGTCGTGAAGTGGTTGCTATAGCGCGTCTTGAACGGTGTCTCGCAAAGCCCGAAGTACCGCCTCTCGTCACCTGAGCTCCGGGCCGTGACGTTCGCTTGATAGACCACCCTTTCCTGCAAACACCGGCCGTCCAGAGGGCACGAGGGTTTAGCTCCGCAGTTGCATTCCTCTGCTGGTTTTCGCACGTCGGCCAGGGCCAGCACCTTCCGGTTGTGCCCCTTGATTATGCAGGCCATGTTGGGCATACACGAGTAGCTGACCTTGACCGTATTTTTGTTGAACATTTTACAAGCCGGCTGTCTCTATTCTCTTCTGCCTTTTTGTGGTAATGCTCCATCCTTGTGGTGTTGAGCACTCTAGGTAATCTGGGAACTCTCGCTATAGTGTTTTTGCTATAATTATTATTATTCTGTGCCTGTACTGTTTAAAACTCGGATGTTGATCACGCCAATGAAGAAAGACGAAAGGGCCAATAACCAGTTCTGTTCGGCATTCTTTTCTGCTGTGGGACATACATTGTATGATGTACATGTAGCTCATGCTCATGTTCGTTGCGCTTTCCTTCCCCTCCCACACTGCCATAGTTTTCTGTAAATCTTGATCTTGGTGGTCCTTGGACCTTTGTATGGTGGTGCTTCTCCACCGCCAGTCACCATGGTCACGTGAAGACCCAAGCAAGTAATTTCCAAAGCTAAAGAGTAAAGTACCAGTAACACTAACAGTAACAATAATTAAATTATAAATTAAAAAAATAATAATATATTAAAATTAGTTCTTGCAGCGCCCAATCTGTCCAGATAAGCAGTTCGCACAACACAACCGTCCGCTCGTACTACACGAACGCGCTCCACAAGTACTAGTACCGGTCTTTTTTGCTGCATGGGCCCAGCCGACCCTGTCTGATGTGTGAAGAGTACCTCGCACGTACAATGTAACTCGTTAGTCGTCACCATGGCCACAGACCATGCCGCAAAGCACAACATCAACATACTTACTAGTACACTCATACCTCGTTTATCCGGGCAGTCCGGGACCTTGCACTGCCCGTAACTTTGAAATGTCCGTAACTCCGAATCATATACATCTTGATGGGGAAAAGGCCATCCATATGGCATATGACGTCAATATTTCTACGAAAAGTGACAAAAGAGTAGTAATATTTCCACTGAAACTCGCCCAAATAGTGCCCGGTAGACCGAAGTGCCCGTAACTTCGGGGTCCGGATAACCGAGGTATGAGTGTAGTAGTACATAGCAAGCCAGCTCATCCAAGGCACAATGCGAAGGCGCCGAAAACGACCCAAAACTACAATGGCCGGTTCACCAGGTAACAAGAAACCAGCTGGAGGGAGGAATAGCGGACTGGGCAACTCGACAGCGGTGAAAACTACTGGAGCCGACTCCTGAAGCCTAGAAGAAAGTAATGAAGTAGGTTAGTCTCCGGCTGACTTGGATTGTGGATCAGAAATTCAAAATTAGAAAAAAAGTAGGGACCTTAGTAGTACTAGTAGCAAACGTAGCAATAGTAGTGCAGTCGAATGTCACTTATCCGACCACTTCGGGAATCAGGCATGTTGGATAACTGGATATGTTGGATAACTGATATCATTAATTTTTTTATGTGCATATAAGGCTGGATTTCACTGATTTACATGTACAGTGTGTATGTACAGGTACACAATACCCAAATATATTCATGCATATTCATGAATTGCTCCATGTACACATACATAGGCCTGTGGGGATTGCCCTATCAAAAATTTAATAATAATAATAATAATACGAAGTAGTGGTTGCGACCTCGGCGATGATTTGTAAGAAAAGGGTTTGCTCCCCACACCGGAGCTCGCGCTATTCCGCCGACTTTACTTGACACTTGACTGACTCACGACTGCCATCCAGAGCACACGAGAAGTCCATCGAACCTTCGACTCGGCAAACCTGCAAGAAAGCACCACTCCCTGCTCAATACACAGTGTTTCGGGGAATTCACCCCTCATCAGTTGAGCTTGAGTAGGCTGAGGAAGATTGTGCCTGAAGAGCACCACTTATATAGTGCTCTCCAGGCACGACCATCACCAGGGATACAAACTTACAGAGACGCTCCGTTTTCAGCGCGACAAACACCTCGTGAGCACCAGATAGCAGCGTGAGTCAGTGCTGCTATCTGGTGCTCACGAGGTGTTTGTCGCGCTGAAAACGGAGCGTCTCTGTAAGTTTGTATCCCTGGTGATGGTCGTGCCTGGAGAGCACTATATAAGTGGTGCTCTTCAGGCACAATCTTCCTCAGCCTACTCAAGCTCAACTGATGAGGGGTGAATTCCCCGAAACACTGTGTATTGAGCAGGGAGTGGTGCTTTCTTGCAGGTTTGCCGAGTCGAAGGTTTGATGGACTTCTCGTGTGCTCTGGATGGCAGTCGTGAGTCAGTCAAGTGTCAAGTAAAGTCGGCGGAATAGCGCGAGCTCCGGTGTGGGGAGCAAACCCTTTTCTTACAAATAATAATAATAAGGCCAAAACAAATAATGACCTTGTTTCCGGTCGCCCGACCGGGCCACTTTTTCCCAAATTCTGAAACTTTTTTTTGGTCCCAAATGTATACAAACGGTGGCAATGCCATGTGTGCAAGTGCACTCAACGAGTCATAACTCAGTCAAATCTCGACCGAATTCCAGAATCGAAACACCTACAAGGTAGCAGAGATTCTCAGCTGTCGGCTCGAAAACCTCCGGGGTCGATACGAGCTAGAATAACAGAGCTGGAAGGACTCGAACTGTTTGCTTGATTTCTCAGAATGTACGAAAACAGGAATACACCCGAACAGTGAGTCAGTCAACTAATTTACTTTGACATTGATCCTTGCCATTATATGTACAATGTACATGTGTAGGTGCTCTTGTCCATCAATACCACAACGATTGAGGAACCAAAAAAAAGTATCCAAAAAAAGTTTCATTCCGACCGACCGAGTCTCCTTTTTGAGGGGTTGCCGACCGGAAACAAGCCTATTTTTTGTTTAGGCCTAATAATAATAATACATGCTAGCATACTTGACCACATCTACTTCAAGTAAATGCATATTACACCGTATAATATACAAACAAACAATTTTTTAAAGAATTTTTAAAATGTTGAGAGTCATAAAATTACCACTCCCGGGTTTGTCGGATAACCGACGTGCTCGGATAACTGGCGACCGGATAAGTGACATTCGACTGTACTACTAGTAGTTTGTGCGTTCAATAAAACACCTTTTAGCAATAGTAGTAGTAGAATTTATTCCCGTAGCAATGCAAAAGACGTTACTTTACTAGTCTTTAGTAGCGCCTGGCGCTAGCCAGAGTACATAGCGCTCCGTGTGTGTGTATGTGTGTGTGTACGCGCGTGCGTGTGTGTGTGCACGCACATGCGTGTGTGTGTGCCGTAGGGCCATCATCACGTGACGCACCGTGCCTGGCGCGCTGAATGTTTTCCTCACTATGCCGTAAAGTGAGCTACTACTAACTCAGTAGCTGGCCACCATATTCAAATAGAGCTTTCAAACTCAGGACCGTAACCTACTGTATCTGGGAGTTAGAATTAGAGATAGTTAGAGATATTATACTTGACAAGTATCTACATGTATGTGTGTTTATGAGGCGCAGTACAGTTCATTTTTTTAAACTAAAATATTGGGAACAAGAGGACTTGAAAGCCCAGGATCCCTCGCTATGCTTTGTTTTTTACATACATGGACACGTACTTCGAAGCACAGGTCCTCATGTGTGTTATTCGAACTGCCGGGAAGAAACGTGCAGTACAAACACATGTGCCCAATAATCCTATTGCATTGACGTTTCTATCAGTTCGAAAAATACACTTGAGGACCTACATTGTATGCAAAAACAAAGCACGGCGAGGGCTCCTGGGCTCCTGATAGGGGAGGCCCTAAAGATGTTGCCGTCTTGTTACAAGGAACCCCGAGTGCTCCTTACAGAGCGAAACAAAAACGGATATGTTAGTTGAGGCTCAGCATGAGAATGTGACATTGGGGGCGAGTGCGGAATATTCACTACCATTCTCTTTTCGTATCGCTCAGGATAAGAAATGGCTTCACTAGTTTGAGGGAAAGACACAAACGGGAAAAGTCTGAAGAAAAGAAATATTTGGCTTTGAACATTACCTTTGTACTTCAGCACGCTACTGGTGCTCAATATTGTAATCTAACCCGAAATAAATGGCCAATGATAGAACGTATTGAAATGAAGACCTGACATGCATAGAGATCTTGTCCTGTCAGAAGTTCAGTTCAAGTCTCCACTGTGCGGGCAATATTCCCATCACACGAATGAAGCCTTCTATAGAGACCTCTAGAAACCTCTCTGTTGAATGTTGACCTAATGAGAGAAGAACCGTGAGTCAAGATTGTCTTAGAAACAGGACTGGTGGTCTTTGTGGACAGATTCAAAATGTACTATATGAAGAGGCAGTTTGATAGTTGGGCAGATCTGTCTGTTAAAGGCATGTGATCTGTTACGGCCGCAGTGATCGTTGATGACAGACCTAACTACGCTGCACCAAGCTTTGGAACGCTAGCATGCCAATGCGTTTAATGTTAAGACCATCTGCTTTATACGCCACAACCAAATATGGGGAAAGTTGACCTATTTAGCAGATCACGTGCTGAGTACCGATTGTATCTGCTGTGTCTGTTCTGTTGGTTCTAGACCCAGGGCTTATCCTTACCGGCCATTCAGATTCCAGCAGGAGGAGCTCCGGCTTCTTTTCAATCCCCCGCACATGCTATTATGATGACCCCTGGCTTGTACCCGGCTGCTGCCCATGCCACTGGTCAACCCGGCACTATACACATATTGCCGGGTTTCGGCATTCAGGCAAATGCACAGACTGGCATGCCAGCCTGGCAGATGCCGAACACTGGCCAAAGGCCATCCTAACGACACTTCCAAGACAAAGTAAGTAACGTTTCAAACCATGCGGACTACTTGATTGCGATATCACTATCTCCCCGCTAGTAGTACATGTGTAGTGTACTCCACTTGCCTGCGACCCGAGAGGTCGCGGGTCCGAGCCCCGCAGTCGAGGACCTCCGCAGGCTCACATCTGACTGCAAAATCCCCACGACGCAGCTCACCAGATCAAGGTGTGGGCACTCTTCACTCAGTAGAGTCGAGTCGAGCGATGTGTAACTACCGATGCCGGAAGGCGGGCTCACGTCCCTACATGGCTGATTCATTCCCCTTGTCCACCCCCCCCCCCCCCCCCCGGAGACGAAAAAGAAGTATCTCTTAGCCTGTCACCAGGAAACCCTATGCCTAAGTAGCGTAGCCTAGAGTGTACAGGGTATTGGGTTGGCACAACCCTACACATAACCCTACACATAACCCTACACATAACCTTACACATAACCTTACACATATCCCTACACATATCCCTACACATAACCCTACACATAAACCTACACATACAAACCCCTATCAAGGGTTAGGACCCCTACATGTAGCGTTTGATCAGTTCTCACATACCGACACACAATCCTCACGGTTTGAATTTATTTGTTTTTTTTTGGGTATTTTCACTTCACTCATGTCGACAGCAGTGCTCCTGTGAATTTCGAAATTGTCGCTGATCGAACACACAGCTACGGATCAGCTGACGCGGACACAGCAATGGCGGGAGAGCGGCAGCTGCAACAGCCGCTGAAGACGATACACTTCTTGTAGAGTCCAATGTCTGATGTCATCGTGGTCTGCAAGTGTACGTGTGAGTATGGCGTGATGTGTGACGCTTATGGCACATGTATGTGGTGAACGCAAGAGTAGAGATACGCGTTGCCAGAGTACGAGTGTGAGAATCTGCTTCAGTCTAGTACGTCTGTGTACGTGTACGTGAGTAACTGACTGTCAAGTGAATGCCGTGCATGCGCAATGCTTTGGTCTGGGAGTGAGAGTGATGAGTGATTCGTCCGTGGTCTTGTTGTCTTGGTCATGTGTTCAGACATGGCACGTGCTTGTTGCCAGGTGACGGCCAATGAGCGGCCAGAATAAGCAGGCAAGATCAGTCGATCTTGACCGCTTATCCGGTCAAGAACAGCAGTCATACAGCATCGCGCCGAACATGCGCATTCACCATTTTTCGGAGTCTTTGCCTTGGGCAACATCTCCGACGAGGACTAACAATTTGTCTCGCTTCTCCAAAATTATTTACTCACCACTGTCACTACTTTACTCACTACTGTCTTGAACGTCTGTAGGTAAACCAGAAATGCCACCCGACCTTGCAGCTGGTCCTGTGTCTCGCGGTGAAACGCACACAAGGGAAGCAGACCTCAACAAGTACTTTTTGTACCTGCCCTAAGGCTGCAGCTTCTCAGCACTCGCATTTGAACCTTTCTCTGACAATCATCTTACTCGGAGCTCCCGGAGAACGGGTTTATTCCGAATCCGTCATATTACTGGTACATGTACTACTGACCTTACTACTGCCTTCACTTTACTTGAATACTCACAACAACTGGAAAGTTCCGACCAAGCAAGCTAGCTGTTTGTGATGGTCGCTGCACACAATGTGACATCAACTCATTTGCCGTCAAGGCTTTCTTTCTCTTTGAATGTCTCGACTGGGCCTTGTCTGAACCACAATCCTACACAGTTGCGTCGGGCAAGACCACTCACAGACCTCGGGCCTGATCAGAGCGTCATGCCCTCTCAACTGTGTAGGATTATGTATTTCTGTACGTATTGGTCCCTGATTGGTCGTCACGATTTGTCCGCGCGTTATTACTGCTTGTTCTTTGTTGTTCCTGCGTCTTTATCCTTGATCTTTTCGTTCCACCTTTGTTCGCCTTTCTTCTCCTGTGGCCTTTCCCTTTGTGTAAGAAGTTCGAAACACTACAAAGTTGTTTGCGTTGTCGTGTGGCGGGGGCCAGGGGGAGAAGGCATTCCCATTTCATTCATCACCCTGAGTCGAAAAAAAAGTCGCCAGGAACATTTTCATGACCAAAGCTCGTTCGTCTCGACTGACTCAAGCTGTTCCTTCTCCATCGTGAGAAACAAACCCTAGATTTAGGGTCACGAAATTTCATGACCTCGCTGCACTAAACCTGGCCGCACTCGAAGAAGACAACAGAAAAAAGCAAAATAATGTATTTTTTTGCCGCGTACAGACACTGGCATACTGCTAGCACTAGCAGCTGCTAGTAGGTTATGGGCAATTGCTACATGTAATGACACTGTAATGATGTACCACTCTAGGGACACTGCTAGCCCTTTCCCAAAGGTGCTCGCCCTTTTTTTCGCCCTTGTTCGCCCTTTTTTGGAAAAGCCCGTTTCTTTCGCCCTTTATTGCGTTTTTGGTGAATATCACCCTTTTTCAAGTTTTTGAGCTTTTTTAGCTGAAAAAGTGCTAAAATCTGTTTGCTCATGCATGCGATCACAGTTTCCGAGTGCTCGATGGGCCTTGGCACGCCGCTTTTTGGGGGGCAACAAGTGAATCGTGTACTGGTGTACACAATGCTGTAAAAAGTGGGTTTTTTGAACTTTACTTCCTGTTTTGCCTTTCGCGCGTGGACCAATAAATGGAAGAGTGCGTATTCATTTCTCAGCTTGGGTTCATATCTGAACATGTATCATGGCTATGCTTCACTGAAAAAAGAGCACTTTTTACCTGTTTTCACTGAAAAAAGAGCACTTTTTGCCTGTTTCCACTGAAAAAAGAGCTCTTTTTCAGCACATTTTGAGGGCGAATTAAAAGAGCACCTTTGGGAAAGGGCTAGACACTGCACTGAAGTACAGTAAAACCTGGTGTAAGCAACCTCTGGTTTAGCGACCGCCTGCTTTTAACGACCGTTTTCCATGCACGGGCAGTTCTACACAGAAACTTCACTGGATACAGTGATCACTGATCACCTGCCTTGCGGGACCAGTGACCGACCAACTGTACAGTAATGCCTATTACAGTGTTGGTGTCAGGATTCTTCAGGAGGATATGACTTGTAATAGGCGGGCTGGAGCACAGGCTGGAGCACAGTGTCCGTACAGTACACTGATCTGCTCTGATAGATTACTAGCCTACTGCCTAGCCTGGAGAAGAGGGCTACTCTCCTACATTACACTCTACAGTAAGACGTACAATGACTTTGTACTCAGTAGAGCATCAACACCAGAACATTATTATACTGTGACTTGAGTATTATTAACACTCAAAGTAGTAGTACTTTGAATGCCCCAGAGTTCAGTTTTTACCTTTACTCTTCTGTCCAGTCTCATCCCCTTGCTCCTGCAAGGTCTCCTGGCTAGAACCCTGGATGTGCTTAACCCTGATTAGCTGTATCAAGAGATCACGTTTGATTTGCCCTCAAACTGGGACTGCTAGTGACAATCATGTACAATCATGTACATAGCCAAAACTGAGGACAGTACACGCAGTTACCATTTACCTTATCTATAACACTTATTATTACACCATGCCTGGTATCGCCAGGGCCTAGGGGTTGCAAAACAATCACACGTCGTTGTGTGAGACTAGACACCACATCCATATCCCATGTATGGAGTGTGTCGCCATGTCATCGGATATCATATCAGTCTCATCAAGTGTGAGTATTTTCTATTCTTCACAACCTGCCACCATCGCAGCCGCCGCAAGGAATCAGCTGGGTCACTATTAAAAACTCACTATCGATCATCGACTCGTACAATGTACATGTACAATGTACATGTACCGAGTAGATAGAAGATCTACTTGCTAGCTAGCGCACTCTGTACATTTCCTGCCACGTTCTGACTGCACTCTGCACTCTGCACTACATTCCCCTCATCCTGGTGGATAGAATCTCCAATCTCAAACAATGCTCTTGCTGCTGTAGAACTCGTACCTTTCTTTCAAATTTGTTGCAAAATAATCGCTCGACTCGAATCAAGAGGGCTGTAGATCTACGAGCAGTGGTACCTCATTCTCACATTTGGAACGAATAGCTTGCATCTTTCCTGTTCTGACCGGGGACTTGGCGACAGGGCAGTTATTCCTTACCGTTGGCATTGCACTGCAAATCGATGTGCCATTTCTTGACCACCGTGAATTGCGTATTGCAGTGCGGCATCTTGCCAGAAGCAGGCTAGGCGAAGTAAAGCAGAGGTCGCACACCTGACTGCAAAAATCCCCACGACGCAGCTAACCAGATCAATGTGTGGGTTCTCTGGACTCAGTGACAGTAGAGTCGACTCGAGCGAGCTGCAACTCCCGGTGCCGAAAGGCGGGCTGACGCCCCTACTTCCCCTTGTCTAACCCCCAAGACGAAAATTGCCGACTGGCCGAAATTAAAAATTAAAAGAATTAATTTAAAAAATGCAGAGGAAGTAACAGTTAGTTGAGATCACAATCACACAGCGTTCAGAAATAATTACCGCTATACCAATTACCATGCACAATAGGCATTGTAGTCATTGTCTACATGACTGTATTCATCGCTTGGTTAGAACCGGATCGTGACAATTTCAGGATACATTCTATTTCTAACGACGCTATCTTTCTCCGCAACTGTTGTCAACACCCGGCCCGCGGGAAGGCCTTCACTGCGTAGCTTGTTCGGGGCAGCGTGCATGCCGACAAATGGCACAATTTTCAACAACACACACACATACAGGTACGCTGCTGTGATGATATCTTTACGATACACAAGCAAGCTACATGTACTTGACGCCAGCGACAAGCCATCAGCTGTTCGAACAACTCTGCAGCACCCCCGCCAATGCGCCATCTCTTGTGGATCTCCATTACTGCATAAGACGCGTAACCATGTAGGCACTAAGTTGAAATCTATTTCCAGAACTGCATGCAGACTAATTGAGTTCAAAGGTCATTAAGGATGAGGTAAACAGTTTCCTCGGAGACAAGAGTTTTGTAATTTTTATTGTTTAAGGCTTCCCCAAAGGCTTTCTTTCACCTATCGAGGCTCGAGGGGGTTTCCAAACTTTCCATAATACCAAATCAGGCAAAGAATACAATAACACTGGGAAAAAGGATACACTTCAACATCAACATCATCTTTTAAAAAGGTTTTTCTCTAGTATACTTTCAAACTTCATCGCCACGTGAAATACAGGAAAAACCAAATGAACAAGGACATGTAATGGAATACAGTAGAGAGGTGATAGACACAGCGCAAGGAAGAAGAGCAAAAGTAACAAGGAAAAAGTCGTGACCCATACACATAGATAGAAAGAAATGGGGAAACGGCGCAAGTGTGAGGAGACCTAACAAGCGTGGAGTGGGTTGCGACAGCACGAGACAACAAATGGACATAACAAACGAGTTGGATAAGGGAACATAATATTAATATTTTGCTATTATTATACTTTGGAAAGGATTGGGAGAACTTCAAATTCAACTGATCCTATTATTATTATTATACTGTACTGTTTAAAACTCGGATGTTGAGCCACTAGTTTCAATGAAGAAAGACGAAAGGACCATTATCCAGCGATGTTCGGCTTTCTTTGCTGCCGTGGAACATACATGTAGCTCATGCGCATCTTCGTTGCGCTTTCCTTTCCCTCTTTGGACCTTTCCTAACCTGAGCCTTCCAAGTAACGTGTTGGAAGGTTGTTGGTTTTCGCCTCGTACATGTGTTGGAGCTAGGCGTCAGGTGGTAGAATGTCAGTTTTGTGCCTTGTTGTCGCACTATCCGACTATAATTACTATTAATATCTCGTTACCTTGGTGGACTGTTCGTCATAACTCGTAATTAATTATTTATTGGTCCTTTCTTCATTAAATGAAGAAATTTTTTTACTGTACTGTGTACGTCATTGTATATATCCATGGCGACAGAACAACAAGGACAATCAAGGCGTGCTTGCTGCTTCTTCAAGTTCCATGCTATCCATGTCGACTGTATCGCTGCTTGCTAGCTGGAAGGGCCTAGGCCCTAGGGCACCATAAAAACTACCGTGGTCGACAATTAAATTCAAGAACATGGAGAGCAGTGGGGCACAAGTAATGGGATGGAGTCCACCGACTAGACCAGATTTTGAACAGTCAGACGTGCACAATTTACCACCAGACTGACAAGGATTGATTGATTTTGTTTCACGGATCCTCCCCCAAGGAGTACTGAGGCAGTGCAGGACATGAACGTGAGCTTGAGCACTGCTCCATATCGCTTGTGTTGTGCACGTCTGACTGTTCAAGAATCTGGTTTAGTTGGTGGACTCTACTTGTGCCCCACTGTTTCCCATGTTTTTCAATTTGATATTTCCTCGACTTACCATCTGAGTAATCGAACCTGAATATCATTCGTTATGGTGTGATTTCACACGAAGACGTTTCCCGATCAACGCCCAAGACCAGGCGAGCTCGTCCATACAATGCATGGAGGTAAATTATTATTGCGAAAAACATCTGATAATGCCAGTAGCGGTTTCAGTCGCCGACTCGGCCATCGGATGGATGTTGCGTTGTGTGCCCCAAACTAACTTGCAGCACCGCCCTGGTACAGTACTACTAGTACATAACATTGCGGGCACCTAGCCATGGTACAGGCTATGCTGGGACCTTCCAAGATACTACTCTCATCAATCAATGCAACAACCTCTTGGACATGTACTCCCAGTTGCGTGAGCATGCATTGTAATCTTTACCGTCCAAGTCCTAATCTCTCCAGACACCAGAACAAGTAGGGTTCCACCATGATGAATTTCCTGGTCCTGGTACATAACGGTCTTGTGCCGTTTCGACTCACTTCATACCGACGAACATTGACATCTTGTTCGAAATACCGAGATAAAGATGCAGAACAATTGAACGAAAGAGCCCTAAATAGAACACGCTCTATTCTACTTTGCCTAAAACTTAGTCGCCACATCAAGTGCTGTGGAAATCA